CTGACCTGCTGCTGTGTGCTGTTTCAAAGCAATAAAATGTACTGGTGCAAGCTGTAAGTATTAAAATAAATAAGTAAGCAATTGACATTATACATCTTTGAATTAYTGGAAACACCACATGGCAAAATTCTCTTTCATCCTCACTGTTGCTTCAAATCATCAAAATACTGTTTATGAAAATTCCTAGGGGAAGAAAAATATATTAAAAGTTTGAACATAGATAATTTATTGGGCTTTGTTATGAAGACGCCTGCAGAGTTGTAATTATCCCCAAAACAGATATTATAAACCCTTGAAATTTAGAAATAGAATCATATTTTTTTAAAGTTTCAAGTTTATTAAGGTATGGAAATGTGTAGCTGTCTTGCAGGGCAGTTTTATCTCCAGCTACAGTGACATCTTGAGGTGGCAAATGAAACCACCTGGGTTTTTTTGAAACAGCACTAATCATTGAAATTCATTAATCATAATTAAGAAGATACCATAAAAGGAAAGGTAAAATGCCTAAGTGCTAGAGGTAGCAGAACTGCAGGATCACATTGCAATTTGAGGTTTGTAATTTATTATCTCTGCTCCTTCAGYAGTTAACACTTTTGTGGCACATGTTTATTTAGAATTGAGCAGCCTTGAGGAGCAGAACATTTTTCCTGAGGAGCCTCCACCTGTGCTCTGCAGGCATCTCAGTTAGTGTTTTTGTTACCTGTCAGTGTCATCCACCAAGAGAATACCTGAAAAAATAAGCTTATTGATTAGTTTTTAAYTCRTTTGAACAGTGAGATRTTTCAGTGCTGGGTCTTMTGTGTTTCCCTATAAACAATACAAYATTCTGAACAACTCAGAKGGTAAATGAAGGCCTTTGCAATCACAAAATCAAGTCAGGGATGGACATAGAGGGTGGTGAAGACTGTGAAAAGCTTAAAGAAGTGAGGAACTGAATGAAGGAGAATGGTTATTTGTTAGGAGGGTGCAGTTCTGCTTAGTTTTGCAAGGGTGAGAAGTGGCATTATAATGTATAGGTTAAGGAACAGACTGATAAGGAGAGAACACCAAACATTTTGCCTTAACAATGAGGGCAGGAGGGGGAGGAAATCAGGTTGGGAAAAACTGAAGAGTTTCTCCTTTATGCTGTCAATATCAGAGATTACACAAACGTGCAATTTGCARTCCTGTAGTTGAAACAATTCCTGATGTCTCATTCACTGTGACAGATAGGCAAGGGCATAATTTTATCTCGTGCAAACTCATGAGAAAGATGCCAGCAGTAATACAAGGAGCACTTGAGTCACAATTCAAGGACTGTTAGTGTTTCTAATTGAGTGCYCAAGCATCTATACAGCTGTTGCATTGAAGGAATAATTTCCCACAAGATGGAGAAAATGAAGGCTTTACTGCAGTGAGGTCTGCAAGCAGAGCCTTAGGTAAAAGCTTAAACAGAAAAAAATTGCCAGGAACTGTGTCAGCTTTAAAAAGTTACTCTGGCTCTAAGAGCTCATGGGTACATGACATACTGTATGCCRTACCAGCTTTACATGTAGTAAATTTATTTCTTTAAATATCTGTAAAATGGTTATTTACCTCTAGTTTCCCTCTCCTTTTTTGTCCACTAAAGCCTCAAATCATGTTGTCTCAATTTTTTTGTTTCAATTTTTTTTTCCCACTCCCAGGTGGCATCTGCTATTTCTCTCTTTGGTAACGTGTATTAGTAGCCACTTTTTCTCTTTCCAGCCATTTCTGTTGCAYTGTCTCTCTGCCCTACCTTGATGGAAAAAATAAATTACTATATTTGAATTGCAGAAATAGAGTCTGGGATGAAATGAAATTTCCATTTACTTAAGAGAAAAGAATTGTACCAGCTCCAAACAATTACCCATCAGTAATGCATTTTCAGATCATCAAAAAACATATTCTTCTAGCTTTTTGTATAGTTTTGAGATACTGTGTATTAATTTATGTTGAGAATATTAATTACAGTAAGAAGAAATAATAATCTCTATAGTGATAAATATCACAGAATTATAGAGTTATTTGCATTGGAAGGGATCTTAAAGACCATCTCATTTTCCCCCTCGTGCTGTGAACAGGGACACCTTTCACTTGCTCASAGCTCCATCCAGTCTGRCCTTGAACACTTCCAGGAATGAGGCATCCACRRCTTCTCCTGGMAATGAGTTCCAGCACCTCACCACCCTCACAGAAAGAGCTTTTTTCTAATAWCTGATCTAAACTCACCTTCTTTCAGTTTKAARYCATTCCCCCTTGTCCTGTCATTGCATGCCCTTGTGAATARTCCCTCTCCATYYTTCCTGTGGCTCCCTTTGGGTACTGGAAAGCCACAATTAGGTCATGCTAAAGCCTTTYCTTCTCCAGGCTGAGCAAKCCCAATTCTGTCAGCCTTTCCTCATAGGAGAGGTGCTCCATCCCTCCCCTGATCTGCAAAYAGTGCAGGAAGGAATTATTTGTAGCTGGGAAGAAAGTTGTAATAGAGCTGCAATTCAAATAAATTGGTCCATCTGAGTACATAATTATATCAAAATAAAAATAAATTTGTTTAAGGATGAAATTCAGAATCAATTGTACCAGACAGAGCTTTTCACTTGGGTGGATTTTTGTCACCACACTACATATTCTCCTTTTATGGTAACTTGTTTTACTCACATGATTTCCCTGCCAGAGCTGCACCCACAGTGCTGCAGCTAGCAAGTAGCATTTCCTTGTGGGATTTCCTTTCCATCCTGCTCTTAAACTTCAGGTTTCMTGTCTAGGTAAAAATGCTTAATGACCTAGCATGCCATTAATAAAGACTTGCATTGATACAGGTATTATCTGGCACCAGGATTGTACAAAGTGTGGCAAGGCAATCTGACGGTCTGCAATATATCAAATAACTGCCTCATAAAAATAGCTTTAAATAAGATGGTTACGTAATAAAATAACTTTTAATAGACATACGTACTAGTTCTTAATAGGCCTCATTTACAAAACTAAGATGATTTGCTTTACTAAACACGAATACTTAAATTGGAAATATATTTTTATTTTGTGACATTCTTGGTATCAAATCAACATCAATTTGCTAGTTTCTTAACACCWGTTTGTTAGAATAATTTTAAAACTTCTGAGTGGAAGTCACCTTTTTTCAGCCTGAACTTTAATCTTGAGCTGAAAAAGGGAAAAAACCTCTCAAAGACTAATTGGTATCGCAACATCCATTTTTATACTACAAGAATCAACTCTGGTCTAGTTARTATAGTTCAAAAGTGCATCATTGCTGTTATTTCTGTCAGATGTAGTAATACTTCATTGCATTTTTCAGTAATTACTTCCCCCAAAATGCAATATAGCTAAATTTAGTCATCAATCAACAATTTATAGTTGTTTATTTTAAAATAAATTCTGACCCAACAGCTAAGTGACCCAACAGCTGAGTGAGTTATCACCTGCTGTCAGAACTGTTGTTTTGGTGAGATGGGAGATACCAGGCTGAAAGGTTAAGTGAAATGTCATTAAAGTTTTTCTTTTCTGAACAACTTGGTTTTAGGTAGCTTATTATTAGAATGCCTAAGTAGGTCTGAAAGCTATTTGCCACAAAATTGTTGTGTCTTTTCTCACCTTTCCCCTTTATATCTAATTCCTCTTTTTATAGGTTAAATTGTGCAGGATTTGTTTAAAGCAGAACTTGTTTAAAGCACAGGAATTTTCATTATTTATTGTGGCTTTAAAATCTAGGTATGCTTTACAGTAGGTACCTAATGCTAAAAACATACAATCAAGGAGGAAACAAAGGGGTGGAGGAGTTTTCTGAGCTGATAGTGGCTTGGGATTTGGGCAGAAAAYATCCTTACTAAGTGCTTTGCATTAATATTACTGGAAAACAAAGTAGAGCTTTCAATGTGGCATTCTTGGAAGAAAAAAAAATACTCAGTATGTAAAAATTGTATAATTATTCTGCTTATTATTATTATAATACCTCTAATTTAGAGGGTTGCTTACAGGAACAACCTTCACAAATGTTTAAATGGGAAGAAGTAACTACAATCATTACTTTCTCTTTATAACACTTTTTTAAAGATCCTGGATTTTTTGGTGATAGTTGTCTAGCGACATTTTATTWATTTTTTTCTTGTATAATGCATGTTGAGTACTGTTTCTGGATCTTACAATTTCAGCAGAGCAACCAGAGCATTAATGGATAATTGAATGTATGATAGAGTTGTTTCTCTCCTCTCCATTATCCTTTAAGAGTGATACCTTACTTTCTTTGTGGGCTTCTAATTAATGTGCTCTTCTGCACCTCCTCTGTTGTTTTAATTCTGTTCCTCCCACAAGGAGGATTTTACCTTCCTGGATTTTGTAATTAGTGWCCATACACTGCTAATGTCACCACTCCAGTTCCCTCTAGGTTGGTGTATTTTTATTCTGCTTAGATTTTTTTTTTCCGGAAATCTCAGTGAGACCCTGCTCTTCATTGATAAGTAGAGGATTTCAGTCTGGGAGGGGAAATCCACTGGATTTTGGGAATGCCATCTAGATACAGAGGCCTAACATCATTCAGTGCATGCACTGAGTCAAGTGTTTTGAATATAAATTATGACTGTGTATGGTTTACATGAAGTTATATCAATAATCACCTTCTTTAAGTTAGAATTAAAATGGGAAATACAGAAGCTGATGACTAATCACTATTAAAAGTTAAATTACCTGAAACTGCTCAATGTAGAAAGGAGGAAAAATAATAAAAAAAWTTAATTGTGTTKTGTARGTCTTTCCAGCATTTTTATAATATGTACSCTGTAAATTGCTCGAAGTTGTACCAAAATTAGTCATGGTTACTGATGTATGTTAATCTGTCGTGGTTTGGCTGCTCTTTGAAGTTACACTGGCTTGTATTAGCCATTGCATTTTATGAGCAAAGGCAATACAGAGCAAAAATGATCAGCATACAACAGACAAGACAACTTTGTCCCTTGGGACCTTTGGTTTGAAATCATGTTCTTTTGCAGGCCATAGAGACCCACCTGATCCGAAAGTCGAGCGGGGGCTTGACGTACATCGCCGAGTGGAAGGGCGGATTGCTGGAGCACAAGATGGGACATCTCACTTGTTTTGCTGGAGGCATGTTTGCCCTGGGAGCAGAYGGAGCACCCAGTGACAAGACAGGCCATCACATCGAGCTGGGGGCTGAAATTGCCAAGACTTGCCACGAATCCTATGATCGTACACGTGAGTACCGCGTGGCAGAGTTTGGCTGCACTGCTTGGCTCCATGAAGGCGGCCGCTGGTATTTTTGCAGAAAACTGAATGGAAATTGTAGCACAGGGAGAGCTGTTTGTTCATCCTTTCTGAGCAAACAACTTTGAAAATGGCTGCTCTGTTTTATAAATAATTTCTATGCACCTGAATCGTATCCCTTCACTGTAGTAATTAACGTGACAGCTTTTTTCACTGTGCCTATTTCTGGATAGCTGAGTGCAAGTAAGAGAAGGACCCTGTTCATTTATGCATCAGTATAGCTATTAATCATGTTTTATGCACAAAAGTATATTTTGCACTCAGTTCTGTTGGTACAATGCTGCAAACAATAGAATTGCACAAAGTGGATTTCTGTGCAGGGAATTTCTTTCAATTTTATCATCTTATAGAAATAACCCTGGTAGCATTTCAGGTCCCAGAGTGTATTTTCCAGTTTGATATAGTAAAGTAAATATCCTCATCTTTTAGGCAAAATTTCACTTGTTGCTAGTTACATAAAGACTTCCAGAATGCAAATGTTAGCATCACTGTTCAAACTGTAACTGCTGTTTAAGGCAGTGCTGAAAAACAGCTCTCTCCTACTCCAAATTAYTTATAAAATATTAAAAACAGGAGATTCTGCAGTATATCTTTCATGAATTACATCGTTTTGGGTAACCTGGCTTTATGCCACATAAAAGGCTACTTTGATTTGGTAATTTGGTGGGTTTGGTCTGTTACATAATTTGAAACCTTTTTTAGTGCCTTTATCTTAGTCTGTGCTTTTACATTGGCTAGGCATGAAACTGGGACCAGAAGCCTTCAGATTTGATGGTGGTGTTGAGGCCATTGCTACAAGACAAAATGAAAAATACTACATCCTGCGACCAGAAGTCATAGAGACCTACATGTACATGTGGCGGCTCACTCACGATCCAAAGTACAGGGACTGGGGATGGGAAGCTGTTGAGGTAATGTTCTATTGSAATTTTTTTGTTGTTAAGTCCTAGTAATCTTGTTAAGTGAGCTATTGAATGGTATCTGGATATTGTTCAGCAGTTGGAGAGTAAATATTTATTTTAAAWGAGTGATATCAATTGAAATTTCAAGACGTTCATTTGCTAAATAGATGAACTAACATCATTTTGACAAAATCAAATACTGCTCATACTGAATAATGGAAAAGTACCTTGAGATATCCTCCTTAAATACTCCTAGGATTATGGATCACATTTGGATGTACTGTTCAAGATGTTGAGTATTACTGCATGTGAATGGAAAGTGCAAATGTGTGTCAGATTTGAGTCCTGGATATGGAAATAAGTTTTAGGAAATGTATTTTCAGTAATTATAAGGTGATTTTAATTAAGGTGATAAAGGCCAAGGTGAAGGTCTAGAGAGTACCAAACATTCAAAAMCCGTGTCACTTTCAAGAAGCATAGGTTATTTGGACAATACTCCCTAAATGGTAGCAATCTCTTCTAGATTTAAATTTTTGTGTCCCACTGGCCTTTGAGCTTCAATCAGTCATGCTGAACCTAGCTATTTGTATAGCACAAGCCTTCCAAAAGGACAGCTGGTCCGCACTGCTCAAATTGGTTTGCCAGATCCATTGTTTCCCTTGTTTCAGTTCAGCAGTTAATCACTGTTACTGCTAAGGATAAGAGCATTTACATTTACCATGTTTTATCTTCAGGAATGAGTCCTTATTACACATCTGGAGTTCACTTGTGTCCTCCTCACACTGATGTTGCCTTTGCTAAATTATCTGAGCTCTGATAGGAAATACAGGAAGYTGAAGAACATTATTTTTCTGGCTCTGTATACTTAAGAAAAAGAGGAAAAAAAAATCAAAACTCTCTGTAGTATTTTGTTCACAGTGACCACTCTTGCAGAGATATTGCTTTCTAGGATTTCAAAAATGTCCTGTTTGTCACTCTACCCAGCACCTCAATCAAAGTTTGCCACTCTACCCAGCAATCATACCCTTCCACAAGTGTATGATTACAGCCTTCTTGGAGGGGCTTACACCAGTAGTTATAGAAGGTTGCTCTACTCTAAGGGTAGAATATGTAGATTTGTAGAATTGTAGTCCTACAGTTTCTCATTCCTGAGGGACCCTCCTAGAGAGCTGTTACTGGGTTGTGACCCCATAAACCCAACTCCCTCCACAGCAGCCAAGATCTGTAAACATATTCAGTATTCACTGTGTAGATACCGATTGTATCAGAAATGTTGTGCAAATGCTGTTGAGCACTGTGAAAAAAGGGTATTTCAAGACTGGTGATGAGATACCTTTGAGGAATTAAATTTAAGGCAAAATCTGCTTTCCGAAAAAGAACAGTAGTATTAACTATGCTTATACTCTCAAACTTTTCTGAATATTCACCATTGTTTCATACCTGCGGTGAGCAGTGTATTCAGCTAGGTAGAGTGCAGTTATTTAGGGCATTGTATTTGCCTCCCTCAGGTGTTGGCTCTGTGGTCCTGAAACAATATACTTCTCAGTTAATGATTCCAAAGCAATTGGGATTTTAAAGCCTCCAATTTAGAGGGCTGTTCTCTTACTTCATTCTTTGCTAACACCACCCATAGGCACACATTTTCCTACTGGAATCTTCCCAGGCAGATTATAATTGGCATATTTACAATTGCTGCTTATGGAAGTCATCCCATCAGGCTTCTGCAATGCCAACTGTTCCTTCTCCAGGAGATGTTTTTCCTGACTCATTGTTACTGCCCACACTGATAACATTGTTATAAACAATTGAAATGTTTGCCTTATTATTCTTTACCCTGTTGGTTCAGTTTGTTTGCGTTTTTTTCAAATTGGTGTGCTTGTTTACCTTCTCCTCGCTCCCCACGTGTTCCTTGTTTAACATTCTTGTGGCTGCTCCCAATCTGGCTCTCACACAGCCTGTGTGTGGGAGATGCAGCTGGTCCCATTCTGCCCCGGGCCCATCTTCCACTGCCCTAATGTGCAGTTGGGTTTTTCACAAAAACAAATCTCACAGCTTTCCCGAAGTTATACAGTCAGTTGTAAGTTTTAAATATTTTTTCCTTTTTTTCTATCTATTTTCTCTTGGTGTTTATAGCCATACAGCTCCACCTGATACTGTATTTTTTTTTTTTTTTTTTTGTTACAGCATGTAGCATGCTAGCTTACCATAACTATTTCATAAATTCTGTTCCCTCTTGCTCCTTAATGTTGCCCCAAAGAGCACGTCACCCTTTCTGTCCTTGGGGAAGTCCTCAGCCACTGAAGGCCATTGGTTTAATAACCACCACATGTTACACAGAGAGGAACCTGAGASGGAAACAAGTAAAAGAGGAAAGACCAGACCATTTGGGTTTTGCCCAAAATAATATTATTCTTTTGGTGTTTCATGTCCATTTTCAACTCATTACTCTAGCAATGAGAGCTCACTAGGTTTGTGTCCCAGTGCCCTTGTAGCAGAAAAGGAGGCTATTTTGGAGTCATGACTTCTAAGCTCTGTGACAAGTCTATATAGTCTTTCTCTGACTCCATACACTAAAAATATGCTATAGTCTCTCCTTTTTTTCTTTGTGAATTCACTTTGCTGCTTTGAGTCCAAGATAATTTTGTATGTACTTCAGCAGCTGGAGAAAATGCAGTTATGACCACYAGCAATATCCACTGCTACTGAGTCAGAAAGGTTTTATCAGCTTAGCTCATGAAAGCCTCCCTTTCTGCATTATGAATGTGGCACATATTTTAAATTCGTAGCACTTCCTTTGTTTTTCCCCTTTATGATAGTTTGAGACTGTCAGCCAGTTTCACCGTGCTTGATATTTTCCATTACTGCAGCATAACTGATCCTAGCCACCCTCATTTTCCAAAAACTACTAATTTAAAATGTGTTTGATTGTTTCCTCCTGCCTACCACTACCCCCCTGTCACTGTGAATATTCACTGTACTCTGAAACTGCAGAAAAAGCCCATCACTGCCAGGGGGGTTGACAACCTAGAGCCTTTTTATCCTACTAATCCTGCAGGTGGATGTCCTGTTCCTTTAGTTAGGTGGAAAGTAGCTTTTAGGGATGAGATGCTTCGTATTTGCATGAAGTAGATACCACCAGAAAGCCAACTTGGGGCAAGTTAACCCCTTAGGTACATCACAGCAGTGCCTTCCGCTACCTTTCTGATATCTCTGAACTCAGAGAAGGCTCTAAGTGGATGTTAGAGCATATAAATGGTAAATGCAATTTGCTTTTATTGTACCTTGCCCTATTTAGGATGCAGATATTTCCTTGCAYAGCAGCCTTATCCTTCAAGTTCTGCTTCTGCTGTGCCTTGAAAAACATCATCTTTTGTTTGACATTGAAAATCCAGACACAGATTCAGCATTTTGAATTCATTGCAGGTTGAAGTAGACAAGAGGGAAGGAAAACCAGCCAGAGGAAATTACTTCTCTAAACTTAAGTATATTTGTCATTTAGTAAAAGTGTCCAGGAAAATTAAAGAACCTAAAGGYGCATAAGAAAAGACAAATAGGCTGTTATATTTTAAAGCATCTCTTCTGGAGAAAAATCCCTTTTAAATATACAATAGGCAGCTTACTCTCCAGTGAAAACTAAGGAGAGCCTGACATGCAAGCTAAATGTGTGCAGACAGCTACAGGGACTCCAGCAAAATCAAGGACGTTTAGGATATCTACTCACAGCAAAACACAGATCTTAAAGAGTCTTTAGTGCAGGGGAAGGTGATGAATACTTCAGTAATTATTAGTGACTTTTAGTCCCATCTGTCATCAGAAAATTCTTACTCTGCCTGGTTTAGGTATATCCTGTGCCTTGTTTTTTTCCTTCGTGTTTTGAAATGCAGCATTTTTCCCTGAGTAAAATCTACACATCTTGTACTCATTTCAGTGATAGTTGTAGTAACTTCAGAAAGGGAGGAACTGGTTATCTCCTGTCTCTTTTTTAGGGGTTGGATAAAGCCCCAGGTATTTCTGCTTGAAAGTTGTTGCTCYAATACCATCTCCACAGCAAAGTCCATGATTCACAGTACTGTGGACCTGAGTGAATGTAGTAATCCACCATCCCTGCTGTCATTTTCATTTTGAGAATTTATTTAGGGTTAAGTAGCATTTTCTGGATTTGTTTTTGAAGAACGAGTTGTTTTAAATATAATCATCTTAGRTTCTCTTATCTCCTTCATTATCCTGTGTGATACCAGAAAGTTATTGTAACACAGAATAAGAAAATTTTAGAGGGTAAGAATAATTGTGGCCTTGTTAAATAGATGGATTATAAAGAAAAAAAAAGATGAATTAATATTTTTAAATGTAGTTGTGATAAGATAACTTATTTCAAATAAGGTATTGGATAACAATGTATTTAAAGAAGTTATAGCCCATACAGATGGGTTCCACTTTCTAATGCAAACACCTGTCTTAAATGAAGAAAAGCAACCAAGCTCATTAAATAGGCTCACTGCATATACCTTCTACAGTTGCACCATCTCTCTTGCCCTTTTATATACACTCTCCATCTGATCTTTTTTCTCCTTCAAAAATATATCTCCTTCAAAATATAGGGCATTCCTGTGGGCATAAAAGAAATTGTATTATTAGGTGGCTCATGTACTCTTTTTTATTTTGAAATAGGAATCAGTCATCTGTTTTACACCTTTTAACTGAATACAGAGTTTGGAAAGCATCTAGAGAAAAACACATTGTTATTGTTATAGCTAAATTRTGTTGTGTTAAGTTCTTGCTTTCTGTCTACTACTGTGTAACAGACAAAGCTTTTTTAGAGAGGTGGCRAAGAAAAATATGACTGCAGAAAAGAAATTCAGTCAGAGCCTGGTATCAGTGGTTTCCCATTGAAAAATYAAATAATTGCAAAGAGAAGCCATACAACTTACACAGAAAATGGAGAGTTGCCTTTCCTTTTTTTGAAGGGACTTGCAGGAGGTAAGGAAAAGACTGATCTTTAGTATGGTGTTCGATTATGTCACAATCATTTTAAGTACTAAAATATGACCAGGAAAGGTATAGGTAACACGATTTCCAGCAGCGGAGATGATGGGAGAGAGAGCCTATTGTTAGTTCTTTTAAAAAGAGGAAAAGGAATATAAGTGAAAATCCATATGTCTTTAATTTCTTATACCCATAAATCTTTCCTTCTGAAAGCTGGTTTCTGTTCACTTTTTATTAATTTATTATTTTGCTTCTCTTTCAAAATGTAAAATTAGACATGTGTGCCTGTCTTTTTTTAAGAGTTTTCTATCTAGACCTTTACCAAGTTTTCATCACTTTATCAACAAAACTGCGGCAATTGTTTTTGGTTAGTTTTATTGTCAAACAAAGAATAACTGACAAATGTTTCATTTTGTTAATCCCACTGATTTGTGTGTTTTCTTCCCTGCTTCAGGCTCTGGAAAAACATTGCAGAGTAGACGGTGGCTATTCTGGCATTAGAGATGTTTATAACAATCATGAAAGCCATGACGATGTGCAGCAAAGTTTCTTCCTTTCAGAGACACTCAAGTAAGTTAAGAAAGTTGACTTTCATCAAAATGAAGTAGTTGTATGTATTATCTTTACAGATGAGTATCTTTAGCACCCTTGACACTTGCTTAACAAAATYTGAGTGAAATAGCAGAAMTTTTCTTAGGTGACAGGAAGCCAARTTGTGGGGTTTTTTTCCAATCTGWCAATAAACTGAATTCCCTGACTTCTGGAAATTGTCTTTACTTCTGATAAAGGCACTTGATAGTCTTTGAGAAATTGCACCTCCTGTCTTTGATAGGATCTAATTATATGTGCCAGCACTAATGAAACAAATTGACTAGACAGAGAACTTRTCAGGTTTATATTGCATACTTTTCATTTTAAAACTATAGAAAAAGAAGAAAAAGTCAGCTTCTGTGGAAAGCTTGCAGGACTTCTTAAGATAGAAAACCAAAAGATTTCATTGCTTTGGCTTATGATTATCTGTCATTATCTCCTAAATTTTTAAAGATAAATGGAGTTTTGTCTAGATTGCTTTACTTCTGGGTTGGCATTTTTTTGCTGTGCAAGAAAAAATCAGTCATGCCATCTCAACAGGAAGTTTAATACTCAAGTAAATGAAATATGAATTACTATGTTTTCCTGAAAATCACTTCCCTGATGTGGTCTCACTTCCTGCTTTTTTTTTTTTTTTTTTTTTTTTTTTTTTTTTTTTTTTTTTTTTTTTTTTTTTTTTTNCTGTATTTGCTGTTTTCTGAAGATGATCTTCTTCCATTTGACCACTGGGTCTTCAACACAGAGGCTCATCCTCTCCCTGTTCTTCACAAAGATGATGAGAATAAAGAAGAAAACCAGAAATAGATGAAGATTGATTTATGCTTTGTTTCATTCCTTATATTCCTTTCCAGGACTTGGGCACATGATTTGGTTTTAAATTCCTGAGTTAAAATTTTTAATCAAGTGTTTTGCAGTCTGTTTTTTTTAACAGTAAATATTTATGAATGGACCCAATTAATTATGACAAAACCTCAGTCTTTTAATACAGATTAATAACTTCTTAGAAATGAAATAGGATCTCTTCCCAGATTCTGTTAGGCTGCAGAGTCATTTTGGCCAAAAAGAGCAGAGGGTCTGCATGTTACTTGTTTCCTGTTATGCTTTTAATTTGACTGCAAAATTCTTTTCTCCTCTGTGAGGAGATATATGCTTTAAGCTGTAATATTTTGCCATGTTGCAAAAAGCCATATTGAATTAAGTATAAAGAGCTTTTTTTTTTTGTTGTTTTGTTCTATGTTAATTTGTTTTGTGTGTCATCCAGGACAAATCTTGTGACTGTGACAGCCTCTTCTTATGCGGGTCTATCATTTCTTGGTAAAGTATCTGATGTATTTCATTGTCAATGAAGTCTACAATAGGGGTATTTTCATCTCATGCAGACACAACTCTGAAACTGCAGTATAAGTTGAAGTTAGATTAAACTAGTTTCTGTGGATTTAGCACATTAGTTAGCAGACCTTAGTTTTTCAGGTTTTGATTAGAATATTGTAATAGAATAAATTGTTTCCTCCCTTTTCTAAGTGGTGTTATTCTTACGTCTTTAGTCAAGATACTACGAAGTAAAATAAGGTAATCATTTCATATTAAGAAAGGGAGTATTAAACTTATTTATGTATTTAGTCCAGAAACTTGCATTTGGTTGGTTGACAAAAAAATACTCTTCCTGGAAGAYGAGAATTACAGCGGATACAATTTGTTTGTTTTTCTGTTACTTTTGCAGAGATTTAGGTAGGCTCAGACCTGACACCAGGCTTGACAGATAGTTGTCACARAACAATTTAATGTATGAATAAAGGTAGAAGTTCAGATGCCTTGAAGAAAACTTGCCTGCTTAAAAGAAGTCATTCAGAGAGGAACTTATCCTGCATTGAACTAAAACACTGTCTTGTCTTAAGTAACAGAAATGCAACTTGCTCAAAAAATACTCCCTAGAGTAGAGGCCTGACTTACTAAGAAAGGTAACAGCTTTGCCAAAAATGTTTTGCTTTGTGGCATCACCAAAGGGAAAAAGAAATGAGGCATGATTAATTCTTGTTTCTACTTGGTTTGAAGTGGTTTACATGATTTTTAAGTCTACTTGTGTTTTCATTTAGTGATGGTGTGACTCCATACATTTCAGGTAGGAAACACTTGGCTTCCCATTCTGAGAAAGAACATTTTTCATTGATTGGACTGCAGCAAAACAAATCTGGTTCTGAACAGTAACCTTCTTGAATGGTATTTAGTAAGATAGCTCACATGTCCAGCATTGCTAATAACAGCTGAGGGAACACATTTGCTTAGGCTTTACAGAGTACATTTTTTCTATGCTGATAAAGGGCTGCAGTGGAGGTTTTTTCAGGTAGGAGCCAAAAATAAGTAATTACATTTTTATATACAGCAGCTGGAAGCTGACCCATAGAGTTTGTAAAGTCTGTAGCGCGTGTCTGCTTCCCCTGCTGACAGAGGAGATGGCATGTGCCACRTGAGCTGCCAAAAACATTGGTGTGGGGGCAAGGCAAGCATCTGCTGATCCTCCAGCACAGGCTTTTTCAGCTGAACCCTCCCTCATGGGAGCTACTGGGGCATCCTGGTGAGCCTGGGCAGCCCAGCACTGGCAGAATGGATAGAAATGGATCTGCAGGTAAAGCCTGCTCCTGCTGTACCTGGAGCCAGCACAGCAGCTCAAAACTTTTTGCTTTACTTTTATTTTCTTTCTGAAAGTGTGGATTCCCTCATGTCACAGCAGGTTTCTGAAGCCAACCAAGCAAGGATGAGGTCTTGGCTCTCTCCTCTGTTGAAAAGCAGAAATTCTGTTGATTTTAATTCTCCAGAATTTTTATCATTGGAGGACTATACTTCATTGTATTTCATTATTTTATAAGGGAGATTCCCACCCCCACCCAAACTACCACAAAGAAATTATAGCTTTGGAATACATATGGAATAAAACAAAAAAATTTTATTCCCTTTTTAACCAGTAACAATAATTACTTTTTTCTTACTTAAATTTATTGGGTCACCTGCTGCTGCTGCGTCCCACCTGCATGTGCTGCTTTAGACCTTGTTCAATTAAATAACTGCAAAAGCTCAGACAGAAACAGTCTTTGAGAAATGTTTTGTAAGCCTCTTTCTACATGGTTTTCTTAGCCAAGGTTTGCTTCCCTCAGCTGTCTGCAGTGATCTTGCTGGTGCTTAGTGAGCTGAAGGGAAGAGTAGAGACCCAGACAGCTTTTATCATCTTTCTCAAATGTTTCCAAAAGCAGCCTCCAATCACACAGCTCTGTATGCATTGGGTCTTAAGTACTTCAAGGTAAGCATCATGGCTGTTTCCTTGWGATAYAGAMATTTCATATGAATTTTTCTTAGAGTGGGAGTTAGGGTGATTTGAAAGAGCACAAATTTGATGYGACTGGTATTGGTATTCAGGTTGTATGTACAAACTGCACTATACTGTACTTTTTGTAAATTAATGTAAGTAGACGAGAAGATTGTACAACGTGTAGATCTGCCAACTGTAAGAAAAAACTTTTCATAAACTGAGAGTATATCGATTTTTCCTTTTTTTTCTTAAATAATCCCAAAACACCAAAGTTAGAGCAATCATTTTGAAACAGTCCGTATTTACCACTGCTTGTTAAATCAGTAAGGTAACATGCATTTTAGTTCCCATTTGCTTAACTAACTTCATGGAAGTGGCTGCTGGAGACTTTGTGTTCCCAGTCATTCMTAAGAGCAAAAGAAGTTGTTGGGGAGAGGGGGAGAAGACGGGGACATGGGCACATTKTCTTTGGATAAAATCACTGCCCACACTTTTGCCATTTCTTTGTGGCATAATAGTGCATTTAAATCTGCATATGTCAAATCCCAAGAGGTAAATCTCTTTAGATGGTACCCACATTGTTTCACAGGGGGGAAAAAAAAGTATTTTTTGGTTGTTTGTGAGATAAGTATTGCATACATGTTGGTTGTACACAGGTTTTTGCAATGCCCAATGGCTGACTGTTTCTATGGTGACTTCATACATACYCATTTCTATCATGTGTTTAAATTGGTTTTGATTTGTACATATTCCATTTAGTCTTTTCATCTTTATATAAACTGAAATTATGGAATACATAATAGATTAAGATTGCTTAATTTTTAAGAACTTATATTTGTAAAAATTTCTCTATTGTGAATAAAGTCTTTTAATATATCTGTTCAACTGGTTATCATTTTTCTTAAGTGTGTTGCAGAAGTAACTACAGGAATCTGCTGCATATTCTGGTTTGCATATTCTGCTGTACTCACAAGTTTTTGTCAGGACTCTGTACTTGTTAAGATGCTATTCTTAATTAACATCAGGGTATAGGATTTCTACTGCTGAAATAAGTTTCTAGGAATTTCTGTCAATAAAATTCAGCGTACCAACTGTGTTTTGGTAGAAAGTGAGCCTGCTAATGAAAAGCGGGAAGCTGGGCAGTGGGAGGCAGCAGGCAATAAGCACAGCGAAGGTCGGTCACAACAATTCATGTTCTGCACAATGYGAGTGGGCAAAGCTAAATGCCATTTAGGAGCCAACAGCACAGTRGAGATGACAAGGCTGTCACAGTGCCCAGTGTTACATGACCATGTAATGAAATCCTGTCGTTAGCCCATGCTCCAGAGGAGAGGGAAACAGTTGTCATAGGAACTGTAACTATATTTTGTCGCAGAAGGACATTAAGACTGCCAATCTAAATATTGAAATAACAGCTACACCTCCTGGATAACCTTGTTTTCCCTGTTTAGTAGAAAGCCTGMTCCCAAGATGATACTGAAATAAACTGCTGTTGTTTTACAGAACAGTCTCAATAGTATCAATTTCTGTCAAAGGACTCACTCATTAGACCTGCTTGAATCATTTTTGAGGGTAGCTCTGAGATTTTTTTCAGCAGCTGGGGCGGTGCAGCTGCACAGTGCAGTCCTTGGGGCAGTCAGCAGCTGGCTGCAGGACTGAACAAACTGCTACTCAACAGTGAGCTAATGCAAACCTTTCTGCAGATCGTGGGTCAGAAGAGAGGTAAATGCAAGCCTGGGTTAGAATTTMAACTGATTCAGTCTTCTTAATTGGATGCTTGGTGTGGATTATTTTCTGTAGGGGAAAAAGGAACTAGGACTGAGTTGACAATTAGTCAAGACAAACAGGATTTGCCCCATGGCCTTGCTCCATCACAGGAGGAACTCAGCACTCACATGACAGCATCTGCTATGGAAACAGCCCTTCGTCTGATCCGCCTTAATCTTGGGATTAGTCTGTCCTGGTTGATCTCCARTGCAGGAGGAGAGATTACACATCAAAAAGCAAACTGCCAAACCCAGGAAATGGTCACTCAGACTCAGAGTTCCGCTCTGAATACTGCAAGAAGAGATAAACCACAGGGTTTTGCTCTCTGCTGGGTTAATGCATTCATACRTGCACACAGTGGTGGATGGAACAAGTCCCAGAGCTGCAGAATCCAGCTGGCTGTTAGCATCCAGCACTATTCCAAAGGCAGCACTTTGACCCTCCTGTGTCAGCTATCTGCTCCTCTGTCTGCACCAGCTCTCACTCATCCTGTAAACTCACCATAATCAACCCTCTCAAACTTTTATATGCTCTATGCACTTTTTGTGGCCAGCTTGTGGAAGGTTGTTTGCCTTTTACCGTTCCCACACTGACATTTTGCAGGACCTCTCTCATTATTAATATTTTATCCCTTCAATTGTGTGTTGCTTTCACACCATCAATCAAAGTAGCACAGAGCTTTTATTGGTCTTGAGAACCTCGAGTTAAAGAAAAAAAACAATTGGCAGTGTGGTTTTAATGTATTGTTACAGTATTGTGCAGAAAAAATAGTACTGTCCACATCTTACCTTTGATCCCAAACCTGAACATTTCTTTCTAAAAATAAAGAGTGAAGGAACATGCAGACTCTATTTGTATTTTATACTAAGATATGTTTACAGATCTAAGTAAACTTTACRACTATCCACTTCTGCCACAGGATTTGACAGAATGTAATATAGTTCTCAGTATCTAATTCTCATTTTTTTCTTTTCAAAGCAAAAAAACAAGGAGAAAACAGTGTCACACTGAAGTAAATTAATGTTTTCCAATAGAGGATTAATTGTCTGGCTGCAGTTGCACCTTTCTTGGACAATCTTCCTTCTTTATATCCATGGTATCACCAAAATGGGCTAACAGGGAAAAATTTCTTGCAGCAATGAATTTAAAAGTAACTTCTACAGCAAGAAAGCCAGCTCCATTTAAGTCAGTGCAAAATTGTTTTAGTGAAGTCAATTTTTTCACTCAAAGAAAACCATTTCACAGAATTTTACATGGAGACTTATGGAGTAGATACAGCCTAAGGAATGCTTGAGGAAAAGGCAGCAGTCATGCTATGTTTCTCATTTCCTTTTTTAATTTTTTTAATATCCTACAGATTATCTGCTTCTCAAATATGGTTATTTTAGACAATAAACATCATGTGTGAATTTATTCTCACTGAGCAAACTCCATTTTCTTATCATTCAGAGCTGTTTTTTCTGGTGAAAACAAATCAGTGACTTTGAKTCAGCTGATGCTTGGCTTTTTTAATTAAAGTGTGCATGTCTTAACATGAATAACTTCCAACAAAATTTGAAGCTTTTTTTCTCTATCATTCTAAAATGTTTTAATATATGACATAAAAATCATTTTGTTTCCAACACTGGCTGCCAATGTACGTAAAGCCAAATCTCCAGCTTTCATAATTTGCATACAAAAWCCTGCAGCCTCTTTCCATTTCTCAGCAAAAAATTTAACAGCCAGACACAGTAGCAAGTTCCCGGTTTTTGGGACTCCATTAATTTTATGAAATATGCTGCAGACTGCTTAAATAAACATTGTGT